GTCTCCTCCCGCCAGGCGCCGAGCCGCATCTACGGGGGCCACGGCAGCCACGTGACCAGCGTCCGGTTCACCCACGACGACTCGCACCTCATCTCGCTGGGGGGCAAGGACGCCAGCATCTTCCAGTGGCGAGTGTTGGGCGCGGGGCCGGCGCCCGCCACGCCCTCGCGAACACCGTCCCTGTCCCCCGCCTCCTCCCTCGACGTCTGACCGCTGCCGGACCGAGGCGACCGGCCTCTCGGCGCGCCCCCGCCCCACCCGCATCCCCCAGGACCAGGGGCCGAGCCTACCCGCGACTTGGAAACATTCCCAAGGCGAACGGACCCGCGCACACTGTACAAACCCTCTGGCCGAGCCGGGCAGACCCAGCTTGGGCCCCGACTCCTGCTGACTGCTGAGGGGCAATAAACCAGAACCAAAGTGGCTTCCCTGTCCTTTTGTGGGGCATGGCTGGGGCGCCTCCGGGGCCCAGTGGGGGTGGGGAGGGGTGCGGAAAGGGTAAGGGAGCGTTGACCATTTATGCAAATAAAAGGCAAAGCCGCTTGCAAATAGCCGTGTGAAGAGCGAAGCCGCGCAAACCTTTCGAGGCCTCAGAGCTCTGGGGAGGAGAGAGTTAAGCCCAACTTCTCTCCCGCCCTCGGAGGAGGAGCCGAGCTGCAACGGAAATCACCGAGCGCCGGGCCGCGGTTGGCCGAAAGGCGCCGAACCTTTTCCGGAAGTAGCCGATCTGTGGGGTCTCGCTCTCCGACCAGAGCCGAGTTCCTGGCCTTGTTCTACCGATCGGCCGAAGGTGTTCCGGAAGGAGGTGAACCCCGAGGCGGGCAGGGCAAGCTTTCCCCACGGCCCGCAGGGTCCAACGTCTGGCCGGGCTCCGAGAGGACGGGGGGAGCTGGAGCTTGGCTCCGGTCCGGCAGGAGCCGAACTCCTTCCGGAAGAAGCCGACCGGACCGGCGCCGGCCTCGGCGTTCCGGGCGTGAGGCGGTAGCGGCGGCGACAGCGACAGCGACAGCGCGGGCCGGGATGAACCGCGACGGCTGAGGCGGCCGAGGTGCCGGTTGCACGGGCCCGACCGAGACTCCCGCGAAGCTCCAGCCCCGCGCCCGGGGCTTTGCCTCGAGCCGAGCCCTGCCCCTGCGAACGTCCCGGACCCCTTTGTGCGGCCGGAGTCGGCGGCGGGAACGGCCATGGCGGCCAACATGTACCGGGTGGGGGGTGAGTACCGGGCGTGGGGGGGTGCGAGGCCCGGGGCGGGAAAGACTGGGGGCCGGGACCCGGGGGGCTCGGCACTTGGCGGCGCGGGGAGCCGCGTCTGGGGCGGCGTGGATCTGAGCGCGGACCGGAACCGGAACCAGGAGCGAGAGTGCGGGGACCGCGGCGGAGCGCCAAGACCCTGAGAAAGGCTGCGGGGCAGCCCCGACGGCGCTCTCAGGGCTGCCTCGGGGGACCCCCGGGTGGAGGAGTGGGGCCGGGGAAACTGGCTCCGAAGAATCTGACAGGACACGTAGGGGGCGCGAGGTGTCGGGGCGACGGCCCTACCACTCGCGGGGGTACCGAGTGAGGGAGGCTCCGCGGAGGAGCGCCCGGAGATTTCCTCTCCTTGGGCGAGTGAACAATCGCTCATTTTCCCGAGACTGGGGTGCAACTCCATCGCGGAGCTGTGCGCTCTGCCGGGAAACCCCTGCTTCTTGTCTCTTTCCGAAGTCTCACTTTTGAGCGCAGGATCTGACTTTGGAACTAGGTGCGGCGGGGTTGGGGAGCCATCCCCATTTTCTTAGTCTTTCCGCTGCCATATCTCAGCGTCCTCTCTGGACCCTTTTCTCCGTTTGGTTCATTCAGACCGACTTTCTCTCCTCCCACTCTGGGGCTCTGGCGCTCCCATCTTCTCTGATCTTCCCGGCTGTTTCCCTTCCCCCCCTACAGATTACGTCTATTTTGAGAACTCCTCCAGCAATCCTTACCTGGTTAGACGGATTGAGGAGCTCAACAAGGTGAGTGAGCAGAGGCTCTCTGCGCCCCCACCCCCAAAATGAGCTTTCTTCTGAGGGCCCTAACTTAAGGTGAAGAGAGGACCCTAGCTTAAGTACTCATTCATATTCATTTATTAAGTGCTTTCAGGAAAAGCTTATTGAGAGCTTGGTAGTGCTTTACTATTCTATCTCTTGGGGTCAAAAGAAAGTGGTTTGGAAGTCTGTCCCTGAATGAATATAAGTCTCTACTTACAAATTTTTGGACATTTCTAGGATCCTTTAGAAGCGTATTCTCTTGTTAGTCTTTTCTTTGTGCAGTTCCACTTTCAAATGATGTTTTCGCTGCCACTTTTTCCCCCCCAGACTGCAAACGGAAATGTGGAGGCAAAGGTTGTCTGTCTTTTCCGGCGAAGGGACATTTCTAGTAGCCTCAACAGCCTGGCTGATAGTAATGCCAGTGAGTGTCTTTAACCCCCAACCCTACGCCTTTCTCCCGTTCCCCATGGTCTGAGGCCTGGGCATGTCCCCGCACGTGCTTCCCCTGATAGCATGCCCAAGGCAGGGGTGTGAGTTTGGGGGTGGGAAAAAGCCTGGTCTGTGGAGGGAGGCCTGTTTTTACATGTTGGGGTTGGAAGCAGGGTGGAGAGACCATGCCATGATAAGGAAAGCCAGAATATGGTTTGCTTGCGAGGTGTGTCAGTGTGAGTGTGTGTGTGTGTGAGACAGTTGATAATATTTAAATAGGGGGTGAGGAAGAGCTTTTAGAGAAGTCAAACCGTTGGGACAGCTCTGGGTACGCTGGGACAGTGGGTAGTGGCTGAGAAGGGCAAGGTGAAGAGGAAGAGGTCATTCTTACAAGCCTGCAGAACAGGGAAGCAGGCTCATCTTGTGATCACAAGGTGGTGAGAATACATTGGAGGAGAGAATGGGAAGCTAGGAGAAAGGAAGATGGCAGGAAAATTTTCTTGCACTTTTTCTCTTTCTCTCTTCCATTTTCTCCTCCACCCCATTTTACATCGTTTCCTTTTCCTTTTGCCCTATCTTCCTTCTCTTTAAGCTTCCATCTTTATATATACATATACATATATATGTGTGTGTATATATATATATATTTTCTTCAGTTGTCCTTAGCTTTTTTTCTTTTTCTTTTTTTTCCTCTCTTGCTTTGGTTTTCTTTCCCCTTCCTAGATTATTTTTCTTTTTTCAGGCTGCTTTGGGCATGTATGGGTTAATGAAGAGCTTGGTTTACCAAGTTCCCCGGTCCCTTTGGGGTTTCCAGCCCCATCTGGCAGGGGCTGACCTTGGCCTTGTCCAATCAGAAGGGGCGTGGGGGGTGTGGTCCCCCTTGCCTTTGCACGGTTTCCGGAGCACATAGGGGACGGGCGGAGCCTGCTGCCCCCGCTTCTCCCCGAGGTTGAGAACAATGCACCAATGAGCCAGAGCCTGAGGCTCTTCTGCCCCGCCCCCTTTGGTTGGCTCCCAGCCAAGTTAACCCTTTCCACCAAGGTTTGAGGGCAAGCTGCAGCTCTTTGGGGAAGAGGGTTTTGGCACTGGTTTGAGAGATGCTGTCCTTGAAAGCCCCACAAAGTATTATTAGCCAAGTAGAAAGTGAGGGAGAGTTATGGTTGTGTTAGATATTTTGGAGCCAAGAGTCCTGAAATCCAAAAAGAGGAACTGGTAAGCACAACCTTGGGTGATATGCATTCATCCTGTTGGATTCCTGGACCTTAGGCTGGTTTAGCAGGAGAGACAAGTGTGATGTTCTTCTGGGCCTGCTGTGGGCAGTATTTGTGCTTTGTGAGCAGTATCTTTATCAGCTGGATTTGCAATGTATTTGTGCGACATTTTTCGTAGCAGCTCTTCCCTAAGAGCATTTGTGATGTTTGTGATGGAAAGTTGGGAGCGTCTGTAATTGAAAAGACGGTTAAGCGGGAAAGCTGGTAGGCTCGGTATGGAAGGCAGTATGGAAGGCAGATGCCTGAGAAATGTGAGAAAAACAGCTGAGATAGGAAGTGCTCTCCCTGGATTGGCGTTTTGAAGGGGGCTTCTTTTGAACTGGTATCCGACTTGGTTTCTTCCTCCTTAATCTCCCAGGGGAGTTTGAGGAGGAATCAAAGCAGCCAGGGGTGTCGGAGCAGCAGCGACATCAGTTGAAGCACCGGGAACTTTTTCTTTCTCGGCAATTTGAATCATTACCAGCCACTCACATACGGTATGGGACAATCAGGGCGAGTGTGGCCTGTGTGCACTTCTAGAGAAGAGGGGGTGGTGTATTGGAGCAGGAATGAGGCACTCACTCGGGGTCTTCTGACTTCTCTCCTGCAGGGGGAAATGCAGTGTGACCCTTTTGAATGAGACAGATATCTTGAGCCAGTACCTGGAAAAGGAGGTGAGAAAGAGGATCGCTTTGGGAGAAGACGAAAGGAGTGGGTATAGCTCCCAAAAGGCCAGCGGGATAGGGCTGTGATGAGGTACAGGGTTGACACTGTTTTGTACTGGGAACTCGAGATATGCCCTCCCAGCCCCTGCCTGTGTGGACTGCTGCCCTGTTTACCTTCTCTCTCCCCATCTCTAGGACTGCTTTTTTTACTCACTGGTGTTTGACCCTGTGCAGAAGACACTTCTAGCTGATCAGGGGGAGATCAGAGTTGGTTGCAAATACCAAGCTGAGATCCCAGATCGCTTGGCAGAGGGTAAGCACCAGGACAGAATGCAGGCTACTGGGTTATCTCACTCCAGGGGATGCGTGAACCTTGCAGTCTCTGTGCGTGGTGTGCCCTGGAGTTGTGCAGTGCACAGTCATGCTCTGTGCTGTGACCCTGACAGAGCTGAGACATTGGGAACCTGAAAGGGACAAATGGGCACAGTGGGGAAGTCTGAGAGTTGAGGTGGCTGGTGGAATCCAAGCAGGGAAGGGGGAAGAGGGAAGGGATACTGTGAGTGCTAAAACACCAATTATTCTCCCCCACTTTCTTCCTGTTGATGCCATTGCCCTGTTCCCCAGGAGAATCCGACAATCGGAACCAACAGAAGATGGAGATGAAGGTCTGGGACCCAGACAACCCTCTCACAGACCGGCAGATTGACCAGTTTCTCGTGGTGGCCCGGTGAGGGGTGGGTGGATGGGGAAGATGGGCTGGAGCAGGCGTGGATGTACGACCAAGTCCCATTCTAAGAGATGAACTTTGTTATTTTTTCTTTTGGCATGGGTGATTCCCTTCTTTCTTATCAGGCTTAGTTTCTCAGCCCACTCGTGCTTTCTTCTTGACTTCTCCCTGTCTCCTTAGAGCGGTGGGGACCTTTGCGAGAGCCCTAGATTGCAGCAGCTCCATTCGGCAGCCAAGCTTGCACATGAGTGCAGCTGCTGCTTCCCGAGACATCACCCTGGTGAGTAGAAGTTGGTGGGTCATTGGGCAGGCTGGGCTTTGGGGGTACCTGCAGAGCCTGGGAACAGGAGAAGAGGGTGTCTCCAAGGGAGTGAGGGTGTTTAAAGAGCAGCAGAGGAGTGGTGCTGAGGGTTCGAGGTCATCAGGATTACTCCCCATCTTCCTTGTAGTTTCATGCAATGGATACGTTGCAGAGGAATGGCTATGACCTGGCTAAGGCCATGTCAACCCTGGTGCCCCAGGGGGGCCCGGTGCTGTGCCGGGATGAGATGGAGGAATGGTCGGCCTCGGAGGCCATGCTGTTTGAGGAGGCCCTGGAGAAGTACGGGAAGGATTTCAATGATATTCGCCAGGACTTTGTAAGTGGATGGGGCTAGGAAGAGGTGGGAGAAAGGTGAGGGGAACCAGAAGCTGGGGCCAGATGCCCAGCTCATCCTCCTCTGCTCTGCACTCCTTAGCTACCCTGGAAGTCACTTGCCAGCATAGTCCAGTTTTATTACATGTGGAAAACCACAGACCGGTATATTCAGCAGGTAAGGGCTGGCTGGGGAGGCTGGGCCAGAGGCCTGCTCCTCACTTTGGCCTTTGAAAATGATGATGTTTTCTGTGCTAAGGTATTCTCATCTTTTTTTTTTTTTCTTCCTTTTTTTCCCTGTAGAAAAGATTGAAAGCTGCCGAAGCAGACAGCAAACTGAAACAGGTTTACATCCCCACCTAGTAAGTGCGGTGGGTCAGGGCGACTAGCAGGTTTTCCTTCTCTTCCTCCAACCTGTCCCTTCCTCAGTGACTGGGGGTGGGCAAGGCAGGCTCAGACTATTATGTTACAGACAGGGTGGAAAGAGATTCTTTTTCTTGATCAGTTTCCTCGTTTCTCCGCCTGCCACCCCCATTAGCACTAAGCCAAACCCTAACCAGATCATCTCTGTGGGCTCAAAACCTGGCATGAATGGGGCTGGATTCCAAAAGGGCCTGACCTGCGAGAGCTGCCACAGTGAGTTCCCGGGAGGGACCGGGATGCTAGTGGGGTGGGAGGCCTGCTGTGGTCCTAGAAGTCCAGGGGCTCAGGTGGCATGCTTGCTCGCTGACCTCCCTCTCCTCTCTGTCCTCTGACAGCCACACAGTCTGCCCAGTGGTATGCCTGGGGCCCGCCCAACATGCAGTGCCGCCTCTGTGCTTCCTGCTGGATCTACTGGAAGAAGTATGGGGGACTGAAGACCCCAACCCAGCTCGAGGGGGCTGCTCGGGGCACCACAGTAAGGACTGAAGGGGACAGGCAGGGGAGAGGAGTAAACATATTGATGTGAGCTTTGGGCGAAGGCCAGAACACTCAAGTCTTTGTATGGTGATGGTTTGCTGTGAGGGACCTGTAGGCAGGTCTGGTGGTAGTAAAGAGGTCAGGGAGAAATAAATTGCCCTCTGCAGAGAGTGGAAGAAAGAAGGGAGCCTCAGTGCTGATCTCCATTCTCCCTTTTTCCTATGCCCCTCCTCCAGGAGCCACACTCGAGGGGCCACTTGTCCAGACCTGAAGCCCAAAGTCTCTCCCCCTATACCACCAGCGCCAACCGGGCCAAGCTGCTGGCTAAGAACAGGCAAACATTCCTGCTCCAGACCACGAAGCTGACCCGTCTTGCCAGACGCATGTGCAGGGACCTGTTACAGCCGAGGAGGGCTGCCCGACGACCTTATGCTCCTATCAATGCCAATGCCATCAAGGCAGAGTGTAAGGGCAGTGGAAGGGCTCGTGGCAGGTTTCTCTGAATGTTTAATGACAGTAGGGATGGTAGGACACAGAGAATAGACATGGCTCCTGACCCCAGAAGAGACCTTAAGAAGCTTTAACCTTATTTTTCCAGGCTCCATTCGACTTCCTAAGGCTGCCAAGACTCCACTGAAGATTCACCCTCTGGTGCGGCTGCCCCTGGCAACTATCGTCAAAGATCTGGGTATGGGATGGGAAACCAGACTGTGGATACAGGCTGGGTATAGGACAGGGACCCAGTTAGGGTGGAGGCAGGCTCCTCCCAGTCCTTCTACTATCAAGAACCTTCCCTCTCTCTGCTTTTTTTCCCCACTGAGTTTCAAAAGAGTTAGTCTAACTGGACTTTTGTACGTTAATGATTCTTTTCATAAGCTACCCAGTATTACCATACTGATTTGATAAGATCGTGTGATTTCTGAAATACTGGTAACAGCTTACCAGAGCTTCCCCTGTCACCACGTTTGGGGATGCCCAGGGAAACTACTGACTCAGGAGAACAAGATGGAGTTGAGAAAGGGATCTTGTAGGGAAGAGAAAGTGTGAAAGTTTTCTAAGTTTTATTATTTTTCCTGGCAGTGGCCCAAGCACCTTTGAAACCAAAAACACCTCGGGGCACCAAGACACCTATCAACAGAAACCAGCTGACCCAGAACCGAGGACTGGGAGGCATTATGGTCAAACGGGCCTATGAGACTGTGAGTTGACAGGCTGGGGCGGGCCAAGGCTGAGCTGGGCGTGCTTTATTCTGGTAGGAGTCTGAGCGAGTCCCCTTCCTCATGTTGTTGCCCCGCCCTTTTCCAGATGGCAGGGGTAGGGGTCCCCTTCTCTGCCAATGGAAGGCCTCTGGCCTCAGGGATTCGCTCAAGCTCACAGCCAGCAGCCAAGCGTCAGAAACTAAACCCAGCTGATGCCCCCAATCCTGTGGTGTTTGTGGCCACGAAAGATACCAGGTACGGGGCCTGCCATGGGAGGCGTGAGAGGTTGATAACCCAGGTTGGTGGCTATTGAGAAATAGGAGTATCTGAGCAAGACCAGTTCCAGGAAGACTGTGGGTGCAGGGTGGGGGTGCCAGAAATGAATGGCCAGGAAGGCAGAACTGGCATGTGGAGTTTCACCTTGGGGGTCTTAGCCTTCTCTCTTCCCCTCTCCTGGCCAGGGCCCTGCGGAAGGCTCTGACCCACCTGGAAATGCGACGAGCAGCCCGCAGACCCAACTTGCCCCTGAAGGTGAAGCCACCGCTGATCGCAGTGCGGCCCCCAGTTCCTCTGCCTGCACCCTCACATCCAGCCAGCACCAATGAGCCCATTGTCCTGGAGGACTGAGCGTCTGTGGGGAAGGGAGGTGGGCTAAGAGGTAGAGGACAGGTGCCTTGGGCACCCAAACCTCCTTTTTCTCTAGTATCTAAGGAGTGAGGCGTGTGACAGAGGGAGCAAGTATATGTCCCTGGAGGGGTTGGGCGCCCTCTGGTGGCACCACCGCTGGGCTTGTCCCCTCCCCATGCTTCTCCATGCCTAGTGATGGAGGACTGACTGCAGAAACCTGGCCTATGTGGGGAACCTGGCCTGTTTTGGGGGGTAGGACCCACAGTTTGTCTTGGACAGTTTTGGGGGGAGGGTTTTTTAATTTTTTAAAAATTTTACCTCCCTTTGCGAAAAGGGGAAGGGGGAGGGGAAGAGTAAACAGATAGATGTCAGGTGGTTGAACCTGATTGGGGGGAGGGGGGTGTGCACTGCCATGTCTTTTTATTTTTTTCCCAATTGGGGGGTTCGCTTCCTGTCCGGTGTCCGGACTTTCCTAATTGGAGTTTGAGGCCCCTAAGCTGGCATCAACCCCAGCTCATGCTCGCTCTTTCCTTCCCCCCTCCCCCTCTGCCTTTTGTACGCCAACTCTCAGAAATAAAGATCTTTTGTCCGTTTTTTTAACCCCAGATTCTGTAATTGGTTCTTATAGTAACAAATAAAAAGCTGTTTTCTTCAGCTCCTTCTGGCTCAGCTGTTCTCTGCCATGGGTGTGTGTGTGAGGGGGGAGGGGAGGTCTTCAAGAGGAAGAATAATGAAGTACAGATGGGGCTTGCCCTGGGAACAGCTTCTTTATGAAATATAGACTGAGGCTGCCTGCTTCAGCCACCCTGTGGGCCCAAATTCTCCTCCACAGATCCCCATAGCTCCCAGTGGTGCTAAAGCCCAAGCATCATCTTAGCCCAGATTCAATCAAAGCAGTTGGGATGAACTGGCCCTTGGATGGCTGGTGGCCGCCACAGGCACAGGGTATGAGGGTGCTTCTTCCTCTATTTCCCCAATTCTTATTCCCCTCTGGATTCCCTAGGTATGCAAATAGTTAACATGCTCACTGCTAACCGAAAGGTTGATGGTTTGAATTTACCCAGAGGCACCTTGGAAAAAAGTTTTGGTGATCTACTTCCAAAAAATCAGCCATTGAAAACCTTATGAAGGACTGTTCTACTCTGACACATGGGGTTACCATGAGTCAGAACTGACTACAGCAACTGGTTATTCCCGGATCCCTTTTACTTAGGGAATTCTGGGAGTTGGTAGAGGCCAGAGGCCGGGGGAAGATGCAGTCTAGAGGTACTGCAGGATCTTACCAGCTAACTCCAGGCTGTACTCAGACTGCAGCATCAGGATCCTCAGGGCATCTGCCTATTTAGGCTTGGGAGATAGAACAGATGCCCAAGCTGGGCCCTATAGGAGGGATACCTTAGGAGAGAAGACCTGAAGGTCAGCTTACTATGTGCTCCTTGGGCACTTCCTTCAGAGATGGCGAACAACCTCAGCAATGTGACTTGCTCAAGGTCACAGACCTTGGTAGGTCTGCCTTCAGGTCCACTTAACCACAATGGAAACCACAGCATAAGCTGCTTAGTCTAACCATCCCCTCCATCTCATTCTCGTCCCTTCCCTAGGGCCTCCCCAACTCCTTTACTCGCTTCCGGTCTTGAGCCTACACCAGGAACCGTGTCAGGGGAAGAACAACACTATACCAGTTTGAGGGCAGCAGCACTTCCCCACTCCAATGTCCTCACTCAGCTGCCACCATGGCTGGTTTCTTACGCGCTGCCTTGAAGTGGGTCGCTGGCTCTGGCGCAGCTCACTAACGTGGAAGGCCAGTGGATGCAGGAATGAGTCCGGCTCACCACGGCCGTGTGAACTGGCTGCGGCTCCATGGAGTCTGGAAGGTACCGGCGGAAGACCGGACAGAGCTCCCCAACCCAGGCTAGGCTGCACAGAGGCGTAGCGAGGGGGTGAGGGGCAGAGAGGGGCATTTGCCCCCCGGCGCAAGTCCAAGGGGGCGCCAGATGAGACCAGCCGGCCGGCAAATCACCCCTCCCCGCCACCAGCCGAAGAGGCCGGCGGAGGGAGGGGGCGCAAAGTTAAGAGATTGCCCCTGGGCGCTAGTGACCCTCCCTACGCCTCTCACTAGGCAGCGGTCGTACAACACCGATTTGGGGAAGGCCCGGGAGGGAGAGGGTAACAGTCCTGACGCGGTTGGGAGTCCAGGGTTAGCCCTGAGCTTCGCGGGACAGAGTGGAGACTGCTCATCCTCCGCCTTTACTCTCCGGGTAAATGTGGGGCTGCGAGCACAGCCGCGCGGGTGTCTACAGTTCTTGAAAGGGCGCCCAGCCGGCCGGCGACCACCCAGCAAGTAGGCGGCCGGCTGTCTGGAGGGCGGCCGGAGATACTAGCCGGCGCCTGTGTTTGTGGATACTGTGTTGAATATTCATGATCTGTGAGCCAACCAACGCATGATCATCTCAGAGCAAACCAATCGGTTCACCACATGCAGATAAGCATCGTAGATGGGCGGCTTTTCCTTAAGTCGGTGGGGGCTGAACACAGGCGAGAAACGGAACCCTGAGTGGAAAGCCATGGGTTTCCGGAGGAGTGTGTCTGCGGGAGTGCCGTGCTACGTCACTTCCCATCCGATTGGCGGAAATTACTACAGAGCGCGTTGCTGTTTGGAAAAGCGAGTTCTGGTGGAGGCAGAAGTGCTTGTTTTTTGTCGGTATTTGAAAGTGGCGATGGCGGCGGTGGATTCGGATGTCGAATCGCTGCCGCGTGGGGCTTTTCGCTGCTGCCTCTGCCGCATTACTACAGCGAACCGTAAGAGTTGCCTAGTGAGGGGGGTGGTTGCGGGCTCTCATCTTTTGGTCCTAGCGAAAGTTAGGGTTAAACGTCATAGTTCCTGTCAGGACGGTTGGTAGGGTCACCCCGCTCCGTTTTCATAGGCCACCGCCCGTCCGACGGGATTGAACAGGGGACAGTCCCACCACGTTATATCTCTCCTTCCCCCGTATCCAAAGCCTCTACGACGAAAGTTCCATTAATTTATTCCCTCTTTGGCCATCATCTGTTGGACATCTGCTCTGTGCCTGTACTCTGCTGGGCTCTGGGGTGAAAGGAGGGAGTTGAGGGATGAAGGAGCTCACATCCAGAGAGGGAGACACTTTCAATACTCTGTAGATATGTTTGGAGAGCTGTGGGATTACAGAGAAGGCAGTAATTAAGAGTCAGGCAAGCCTTCCAAAGGAGTGACAATACTCTGTAGATATGTTTGGAGAGCTGTGCGATTACAGAGAACGCAGTAATTAAGAGTCAGGCAAGCCTTCCAAAGGAGTGACCGAAAGGCAGGGATATGTGAAATAGCTTGGCATGCTGCAGTGATGCAGTGAGGAAGAGGCAGAAAGTGAGTTTGGAAAAGTAGGTTCTAGTATGTCAGTGCAAAGCGCTCAGTGAACCCTCTGATTCTGCTTGTGAAGTCTTCAATCATGATATTCCCTAAATGAGGGCTTCTTCCCTTCCCTGTGAATGGCACCCTCACTTGTCCAGTAGGGCAAAGCAGAAACCTAGGAGTCATTAAATCTTCCCTGGCCCCATATCTACATTGGTGACACCAAGCAGCAGACTCAGATACAATAAAAATAATAATAGCGGCTAACGTTTTCCACATTTACCATGTGCCAGACTCTCTGATAAGTGCGAATAGTACCTATGTAGTAAGTATTGTTATTATCTTCATTTTATACCCGAGGAAACTGAGGTACAGAGAGGTTAAGTAACTTGCCCAAGGTCTCACCTAGCTTGACAGAGACGGGATTTGGACTTGGGTGAGTGACTTAAGATCCTGCACTTATGATAATCACTGTACCATACCCAGAGATGGTCCATGGGGGATAGTCCAGGGTCTTGAGTTATTTAGTTCTTACATATATAACCTGGATGAGTCAGTCACTTGTTCATTTCTTCACAATTTGCGGGTGTTGTTGTACCTAGCACTTACAGGTGGCTTCAGATATATTTGTAGTGTAGCCACTTCTCCTGGGAACCACTTGGAGAATATATATATAGACAAATGGACAAGAGAGGAAGGTAAAAGGAGAAAGGAGCCAGGACTTTGTTTATTCAAAGGTCACACTTCGTATGACTTTCAAGGATCAGTAGGATTTAGGTGTGCAAAGAGCAAAGGCAGGGCAGGTACACTGGAGAGTGATTTGGGTGTTTTTGTCTCATGTTTGTATTTGCAGGACCCAGCCTAGATGCCCACTTGGGAGGCCGGAAGCACCGGCACCTGGTAGAACTACGAGCTGCCCGAAAGGCCCAGGGACTTCGAAGTGTGTTTGTCAGTGGCTTTCCCCGGGATGTGGATTCTACTCAGCTCTCTGAGTACTTTCAGGCATTTGGACCTGTTGCCAGTGTTGTCATGGATAAGGACAAGGTACAGTGAATGGCTCTGGGGGTAGAGAATGAATCGGGTGTGCCACATGCCAAAAGAGACATGAGAGATGAACTGGCAGCCTGCTTTGGCTGTTTCCTAATGTGGCCTGTCCTTGGTGGGACACCACAGTACCTAACCTAGTCCAGTTTTGTGAGCCCCCCTGGATGTTATCAGTTCACCAGAATTAGTCATTAGGAGACTTGTTTGTAATTTACTTATTCAGTCAATCTTTTATTCACCAAATATTTATTAACTGCTGACTTTGTACTAGGCACTGTGCTTAGAGCTGTGTTCTTAGTGGTGAATAAGATAGGCGTGGTTCCTGCCTGCAGTTTATGATCTAGAGAAGAAAGTAGACAATTAAATGACTATAGTGAAGTGGGTGCTTTAAGAACACACCTTTGGGGGACGTCAAACCCCAGAGCAACTGGTTAATAAATCAGATGGCAGTTTATTAATTTACGCTAAGGGGTACTGAGGTCATCTGGTTAGAAGACCCGGTCCTAACTTTTGTCAGTGTCCTTGAAAAAGTTTACTGTTAACAGTGCTGTGTTCTTTGGTCATATTATAGTTCTGAGGCTGTACTCTGGTTAAGTAGACATAACTTAGGTGATGCCCAAGTCTGGTGCAGTGAATTACTTAATGTGGCCCTTCCAACTATAGTCTTTGTGAGTCCCATGCATGATTGGGTGGGACAATGCAAATAATGTGCTTGTGGCCCACCAAGAGGATTGGACATCTTGCTGCTAATGCAAATAAGATGTGTGGAACCTGTGATGGTTAAGGTTATGTGTCGACTTGGATGGGCCATGATTTTCAGTGGTTTGGCAGTTGTATAATGATGTAATCTGGAAGTTATGTAATGCAGTTTGGCAGTTATGTAATGATGTAGTCATCCTCCATTTTGTGGTCCATTGTAATTGTCTTCCATTTTGTAATCTAATTATCCTCCATTTTGTGATGTGTTGTAAATCCTAGCTTTTATGCCTGTGGTTATGGTTCCATTTGGGAGTGAGTTGTCTGTTAAGTTAATGAGGCAGTATTAGGGTAAGATGTAACTTGAGTCACTGCTTTACTAGAGGGTGTGACTCAAGTCACCGTCCTTACCGCAGTCACTACCCTTATTTAAGTCACGCCCTTGGACTGCTTTGCTCAAGTAAGGGGAGTTTCCTTGAGCATATGGTCTGCATGCAATACATATAGGAATGCTCTCGGAAAAGCTCTCTCTCTTCTCTGGATCCTGCATCTTATCATCTGACTTCCGGTTCTTGGAACCTGAGCCAGCAGCCTATAGTCTGACCTGATTGCCAGTTTCTGCAGCCTTGTGAGCCAGCAGCCTGTCGTCTGATCTGCCGATTTGGGTTTGTCAGCCCTGCAACCACATGAGTCAGGAGAAACCTCCAGCCTGATGCCTGACCCACAGATTTGGGGCTTCCCAGCCTCTACAACTGCATGAGCCATTTCCTTGACAGTTTGTGAGTTCTGTGAGACATTGCAGTGAATTACGGAACCGAAAGACGGGAGGGAGAGTATTGAGGGGAGGAGGAGTAGTTGATGTTAGAGATGATGGAGTGGGACAGCAGTTTGGAAAAGCTGGATATTTGGGACATCTTTAACCTCTGCCTTATAGAAACCAGCTTTGTGCTGATCCTTCTAAAAGAAGTTGGTCATTTGCCAAGTATCCCAGACCTTCTCTCAGGATGGCGTCTGTTAGGGATTGCATTCAACGACTCAGCTACAATGGCTTAAGCAAAAGGGGTTTATCCAGGCCTGGGCAGTGCAGGGTTTTACCAATCTTTCTGCTCTGTCATTATTGACACATGGCTCTCATCTTCATCAGTGTGATAATGCTGCTTCCACATCTGCAGGCAGGAAGGAGGGGCAAGGGAAGGACAGAGTACAAAAGGCTAGTGCCAGCTGAGTCTGGCCCCCACCGCTTTTTCTTTATTTCCCAGGAAAATAACTTTTCCCGAAGGCCTCCTCAATAGACTTCTACTTATATCTCATTGGCCAGCACTCTGTCACATGGTTCCCCCTAGCTGCCGGCAAGCTTGAGAAAGGGAGTTTTTTTTTTTTTAACCCGGCACATTGCTCCTCAGGACAAAATCAGGGTTCTGTTAGTAATTAAGAAGAGGAGAATGTATATTGAGTGGGCGATTGGCAGTGTGTCCCAGGTTACTTCTTTAGAAAACCCAAATGTCCCCATTTTTGTTAATAATTTATTTCAGTCACGAAGAATGATCTTTTTCTGAACTTAAACCTCAAGTTTCTGAGGCTTCTAATTATTATAACAATAATGATTAGAAGCTTTATTGAGCAGTTACTCTGTACCAAGTAAGTGCTAAGTACTTTACATACAGTAGCTCATTTAATTCCAACAACATTTCCTTGAGGGAGATTTCACTGGGAAGTTGGAAATTTGGGGATTTAAGCCCCCTACTTGGGAGACAGCCAGCCACAAGGTAGTTAACCCCTTTGAGTTTCAGTTTCTTAATTTGTAAAATGCAGATAATAACACATACCTTGTAGGAGTCTTATGAGGCTTAGACAGAGTTTATGTGAAATGCTTAGTTTATAAACCCTCAACAAATGGTAGCACTAGGTGGGGATGGTGGTGTTGAGAGGAGAAAAATGGCTGGGACACAGGCTTCTGTATCTGCTAATCCTGGCCTCCTTGATGACTTCTGCAAGGTACTTGAGAGAAGCAAGGCCAGGCAAAAAGACACCTAATTTCTAGCTGGGGCTTTGGTTCCAAACTTGATGTTGAACATTAGCCTGGTAAGCTTTGTGCTTCCTCAGAGTCCGAAGACTGGCCTGAGTAGGGCCAGGTGGCTGCCTTTTCCCTTGGCTTCCCTTTGGTTCTTTTTTGCTCTGTTAGAGGTGAGGGTAGAAGTGAGGATAAGAAGGGTACTTTTTTATTTAATTGAAATATAATTCACATAAAATTCATCCTTTTAAAGTGTACCATTTAATGGTTGGTATATTGTTGTTGTCGTTAGGCATCGTACAGTCAGTTCCGACTCATAGAGACCCTGTGGACAACAGAATGAAATGCTGCCCAGTCCTGTGCTATCCTCGCTGTTGTTGTTATGCTTGAGCCCCTTGTTGCAGCCACTGTCCAATTATCTCATTGAGGGTCTTCCTCTTTTTTGCTGACCCTTTACTTTACCAAGCGTGATGTCCTTCTCCAGGAATTGGTCCCTCCTGATAACATGTCTAAAGTATGTGAGACAAAGGAGCATTCTGGCTGTACTTCTTCCAGGACAGATTTGTTTGTTCTGGAAGTCCATGGTATATACAATATTATTCACCAACACCATAATTCAAAGATGTCAGTTCTTCTTTGGTCTTCCTTATCATTGTCTAGCTTTCACATGCATATTAGACGATTGAAGATACCATGGCTTGGGTCAGGTGCACCTTAGTCCTCAAAGTGACGTCTTTACTTTTCAATACTTTAAAGAGGTCTTTTGCTGCAGACTTGCCCAGTGCAACGCGTCATTTGATTTCCTGACCCCTGCTCCCGTGGGTGTTGATTGTGGATCCATGTAAGATGAAATCTTTGACAACTTCAGTTGCCAGTTGTAAAAATGGCATGGGGGCAGTGTCAGACCTCCTTGTCTAACTTTACAAGGGGAAGGAGAGAGAATCAATTATCAGCATCATTATAATGCCCAAGGCTGACTGCTATGAGTCAAATATACCTCCACCCTCCAAACTTTTTACCAATTCTGACACAAGCCATCCTTCCTATGGCACTCTTTACTTCTCTGCTGGGTTCGATCATTTGTTGCAGTGGCCACACAGAACTCACAGACAATATTCATGATTCTGGGGTTTATTAGGGAAGTAACAGGTTACAATTCAGCATCAGGATGACTCAGGATACAGTTCTTCAGTCAGGATAGCTTCTCTGCTGTGCCCATAGGCAGGCCTCTCCCTGGCTCTTGGCCCTCGTCCTTCAGCCTGTTGGGCTGACTCCGCCTCTGCCTTGCTCAGGCAGGTGTTACAGAGCTCTTTAGCTCCACCTGTAAGTGCCCAGAGGCACACTACTCTGCCAGTAAGCCTTGGCCTGAAGGCACTTAGCTCTGTAACTCCATAGGTCGCAAGCCTAGCTCCAGCAAGTGCCTGGAGGTACCCTACTCAGCCAGGAAGCCTCTTGCCTGAAGGTACCCAGCTCTCTCTCTCCATGGGTCAGCTCCTGCACCGTCTTGTGTTGGTCTCCTAGTTCTGCTGCCACATTTCTCTGCTGCTGCTTCTCACTGTCTTTCTCCATCTCCCACGTTATGGTTCTCTCTCTGCTTCCTGGGTCTAGGAGGTTCTCAGTGCAGGGACGCTGGGTTCAAAGAGACCCTGTCTCTTCTTCTTGGTGGTAGTGAGGTCCTCCCTTTCTGCCTCTGGGATGGCTCATTTTAAGCCTAAAGGGATTGCAAAATTGACCAATGCCCTTGTTAGGGTTCCACATACTTTATTTGCATGGTCCCACCCCACAAGGGTGCGATGTACCTTATTTGCATTATAAGCAAGCTGTCCAATCTCCTTGGTGGGCCACAAGCACCTTATTTGCATAGTTCCACCCAATCATCTGGTGGGAGTTACAAGACTATGGCTAGAAAGGCCATATAAAAGCAATCCATTGCACCACAATTACAAATTACAAAGTTGTTTAACCATTATCACTGTCTAATCTGAGAACATTTTCATCACACCAAAAAACAACCCCATCTGTGACTCAGGCCTTTATGCCGGCAAGGCTGTCCCCCGGGCCCAGCCTGCCCTCACTTCAGGGACAAATTGCCCAATAAGCAATTCACCTGTTTTCATGCCAAAGATGTGGTGAAACCCACGTGAAATTGTGCAGTACAGATTAGTGAGATCCTCTCCTTCCCACCTCTGGTATGGCTCATTTTAAGCCTAGCGGGATGACAAAACTGACCAATCCTTTTGTTAGGGTTCCATAGACCTTATTTGCATGGTCCCAACCAATCACTTGGGTGGGAGTTACAAGACTATGGTGAGAAAGGCCACACAAAATGTGATCCATCACACTGCAAGGGGTGAAGGTAAGGCTTTGGTTTTAACCGGAAAGAAATGGATTTAAAAAAAAAAAGTTGAAAAATACGGCCCTCGCCCATAGTGAGCCACCTCAAAAATCTGGACATGGACACGGGACTGCTTGGAGCGTTTGTCCCTAGGACAAAGGCGGAAAACCCCTGGTTGAGCCCTTTCTTGATACAAATTCCTATTTTCAGTCTGAACTACCTTTTGAACAAAGTGGATTCCATGAAATTCCTGCCAGTTGATTGTAGAGGCTGGATGATTCTAAGCCAGATGCTTCACTGAATTCTCTGAAATATTAAAATAGGTAGCTCTCTGGGTAGGTTTGGGGGGAAATGGGGAATTGTAAGATTTTTTTTTTTTAAATTTCTGGACACTAGATCCTTATTAGATATATGATTTGCAAAAATTTTCTCTCACTCTTATGAGTTGTTTCTTCACTTTTTGATAGTGTCCTTTGAAACAGAAAAGTTAACATTTTTAAAAATTGATGTAAAATTCCCATGACATAAAATTAACACTTTAAAAAGTGAACAAGTCAGTGGCATTCAGTAAACGTTCACAGTGTTGTGCAACCATCACCTCTGTCTAGTTCATTTTCAGCCCCCCCAAATAAAACCCTGTACCCATTAAGCAGTTACTTCCCATTCTTCTTTTCCTCCAGGCTCTGGCAACCATCAGTCTGCTTTCTGTCTCTATGGGTTTACCTATTCTGAGTATTTCATACAAATGGAATTATACAGTATGTGACCTTTTTGCATCTGGCTTCTTTCACTTAGGATGTTTTCAAGGTTCGTCCACATCGTAGCATGTATCAGAACTTCATTTCTTCTTATAAAAAATTTCTAATTTCAACAAAGTCCAATTTACCTGTTTTTTTCTTTGATTGCTTGTGATTTAAGTATCCTATCTAAGAAGCCATTGCCTAATACAAGGTCACAAAGATTTACACCTATGTTTTCTTCTAAAAGTTTCATAATTTTAACTCATACACTTATGTTTTGGTCCATTTTGAGTTAAATTTTGTATACTGGTGTGAGGTAGGGGTTCAAATTCACTCTTTTGCACGGCTATCCATTGTCGTTAGCACCATTTGTTGAGAAGACTGTTCTTTCCCCATTGAATTGTCTTGGCATCCTTGTCAGAAATCAGTTTACCATAGGTGTATAGGTTTATTTCTGAACGCTAAATTCCATTCCTTTGAGCTAAATGTCTATCCTTATACCAGTACCACACTGTCTTGATTATTGTAGGGGGTACCTTTTTATAAGCAGGATGAGGCTCCAGCTTTACTACTGGACAGGATACAAAAGAATATGGCCTTTTACCCCAAGCCGTCATATTTTCCTGCTCCTGCTAACATTGTATCTTGAAGAAAAAAAAAAGCCCAATGAATATCATGAAACTCAGCCAAATCACAGGAGTATGGCTATTACATATTGCTCTTATTCCTGGATGTTAAGTTCCTTGAAGGTAGAGATTTTGTGTTCATATTTATGCCTAGCACAGTATTCATTACATCAATTCTTAATAAATATTAGAAGACTGTAGTTAAACCAGGAAAAGTCAGGGGGTGGGTCTCAGTGAAATCATGTCATTGGCAAGAATAGGGAACAAGGAAATAGGTAAAAAGATTTTCAGTGGCAGACTAGGGTGAGAGCAAAATGGGTGGGTAGGAGTGAAGGAGAGAATTGCTTTTCTGAATGTTCCCTGCTGTTATGGAAATAGCAAGCAAATAGTCCCAATTCATGGGATAATCCCCATTTCAAAGCTCTTTACCCAGTATTTGATCCCTGCCCCTGTTGTGGTTTGTCAGGGAGTGTTTGCCATCGTGGAGATGGGGGACGTGGGTGCCAGGGAGGCCATCTTGTCCCAGCCCCAGCACGGCCTGGGAGGACGTCGCCTGCGAGTCCGGCCACGGGAGCAGAAGGAGTTCCAGAGTCCAGCGTTCAGGTCCCCCAGAGGAGCAGCCCCTGACAGTCACCAGCTGGCCAGAGCACTAGCCGAGGTGCCAGACGTGGAGGCACAAATGGTAAAGCTCGTGGGGCTAAGGGAGTTGTCCGAGGCTGAGCGGCAGCTTCGGAGCCTCGTGGTGTCCCTAATGCAGGAGGTCTTCACAGAGTTCTTCCCAGGTAGGTCACCGCCCTGCCCCTGCCTGAGCCCTCCCTGTCCTTCACATCCCTGTGTCTGCATTCCCAGTCCTCCCACAGCCAGGGGTGTTTATTTGGTTCCCATTATGTTCTTCCGGAGCCCTGGTGGTGCAGTGGTTCAATGCTTGGCTGTTAACTGAGAGGTCATAGGTTCGAACCCACCAGCTGCTCGGCAGGAGAAAAATGGGCAATCTGCTTCCATAAAGATTTCCAGCCTTGGAAACCCTGTGGGGAAGTTCTGCTCTGTCCTGTAGGGTTGCTATGAGTCAGAAGTGGGTTTTGGTATGAGTATGTTCTTCCACTGCCTGCTCCCCCAATGTCTCTTGACCTTTATTCTCTGCTGCACACCCAGGCTGTGTGGTCCATCCTTTTGGCTCTTCCATAAACAGTTTTGATGTCCATGGCTGTGATCTTGACCTCTTCCTGGATTTGGGTAACTTAGAAGAGCCTCAGGTGAGTGACAGGGAGACAGCTGAGAAGAGTTGGTGAGAATAGTCAGTTAAGAACAGTTGTCTCTTACTAGCCACATCACTGTGGGCAAGTACTTTACCTCTCCATGAATTTTACAGTTCCTCATCTGTAAAATGGGGATAATGGGACCTACCTGAAAGGGTGATTGTGGAGAAATATGAATATGGATGGGTATGAGGTAGGATGAAGATGAATCGACATGGGATAGATGGCAGTTGTAACAGGAAAAAAACAGATTTCAAAATGGCATATATAATATGATCTTACTTTGTTAAAATAATACATGAAAAGATACAATAAGGTGAATTTTGGGTTTATTTTTTTGCTTATTTGTATTTTCTGTAATATGCAGGTTCTGTTTTTGTAATACCAAACCAAACCAAACCAAACCCATTGCCATCGAGTTGATTCCGACTCATGGCGACCCTATAGGACAGAGTAGAACTGCCCCATGGGGTTTCTAAGGCTGTAGTCTTTACAGAAGGAGCCCTGGTGGTGCAGTGCTTAAGTGCCTGGCTGCTAACCAGAAGACTGGTGGTTTGAATCCATCAGCTGCTGCATGGGAGAAAGATGTGGCAGTCTGTTTCCATGAGGGTTTGCAGCCTTGGAAACCCAATGGGGCAGTTCTACTCTGTCCTATAGGGTCACTGAGTCGGAATCTACTCGACAGCAGCGGGTTTGGTTTGTTTGGTTATTACCAAACAACAGAGGTATTCCAGTGCATAACCACAATGCAGTTATCAAATTGAGGAAATTTTAACACTGATACGAGACTTTAACCTACAGTCCATACTCTGATTTTGTTAGCTGTCTCTACGGTGGACTGTTGTGTTGTCTCTTTAGTCTTCTTCAATCTGGAACAGTTTCTCTGCCTGTTTTTGTCTTTTGTGACAATGATATTTTTGAAGAATACAGGCCATTTACTTTATGAAATTAAACAATTACTTTCATTTTTAAAGAAGTATTGCTGTGAGGATTGAATGAGTTAATAGATGTGATGCCTTTAGAATAGAGCCTAGCACATAACAAGCTGCAAATATTAGATAGTCATTTTGGGGACAAGAATGCTCCCCGGTTAGGGGACAGCAGCGGAGGCATTCACTTGGCTCTTTTCTGCCCACAGCCAGCCCCAAAGGCTCCAGAGTCTCCATCCTTGGACTCGGCCCTTGCTTCCCCAGTGGATCCTCAAGCCCTGGCCTGCATCCCAGCCTCCCCTCCAGGCTCCCAGCCTCCAGCTTCTCCCCAAGACTCTGAGGCCCTAGAGTTTGAAACCCCTTCCTCCTCCCTGGCGCCCCAGACTCCAGACTCGGCTTTGGCCTCCGAGACCCTGGCTTCTCCCCAGTCCCTGCCTCCATCCTCTCCACTGCAGGAGGACAGGGGAGAGGGGGACCTGGGAAAATCTCTGGAACTAGCAGAGGCCTTGAACGGGGAGAAGACAGAGAGGGGAGCAATGCTAGAGCTGGTGGGATCTATTCTTCGGGGCTGTGTGCCTGGGGTGTACCGAGTCCAAACTGTACCTTCTGCCCGACGCCCTGTGGTCAAGTTCTGCCATCGACCTTCAGGTCTCCATGGTGACATCTCCCTCAGTAACCGGTACCTTTGTTGGGGGGTGGTAGTGGTTGGGGAAGGCCAGCTGAGAATTCTAGGGTGGGTGAGGAGAGAGTCCTGGTTTTAGAAGCTCCTGTACCTGCTGAGCCTTGAGATTATTCTCGTGTGGTCGCATCTCTCTCTCTGCCTTTCATCTCCTTCTGTCTGGTTTCCATTTTCTGTTCTTGAAGTGTATTTCTTGGAATACTATTTTTCAGGGATGTGGAAAATGATTTCATGGTTAAATATGTTTGGGAAATGCTAAGTTAAATGCAAATGAGTTTTGTTCTCTCTCCCCTTTCCCTCATTCTCTTTCCTCGATTTCTCCTTCCCTTCCCGTCTTTGTTTCTTTGCATACTAAAGGCTCTGAGCAGTTTTATAACCTGCTTTGAATGTTCCAGACTGGCTACATATAGGATGTAGTGTTTCCCAAACTCATGTGATCTCCTTTTGCGCACCTTCTTTTAAGACCAGTGTTGGGGCAGCCACTTTGGGAAACTCCCTTTGGCCTCCTTACTCCAGCTGGCCCTGGTCATACAAGTCAGGAATGAGAGCAGGGGCTGGTGGCTCAGAGGGTTTCCGAGCCCTGACCCCGTTGTCTTCCGCTTTGTCCCAGGCTGGCCCTGCATAACTCCCGCTTCCTGAGTCTTTGCTCCGAGCTGGATGGGCGAGTCCGGCCCCTCGTGTACACCCTCCGCTGCTGGGCTCAGGGTCGGGGGCTGTCAGGTGAGGATGAATCAGGACAGACTTGGGTCTGAGTTGGTGTCTGGACAAAGGACATCAGGGAGAGAAGGGGACAGGTACAGGAATTGGTGTGGAGAAAACGGCTATGAAGGGCTTGGGAGCATCTCTAATCTAACTGGAATTATTGATTATTCACTCAGGGAGCGGCCCCCTTCTCAATAACTACGCCTTGACCTTGCTCGTGATCTATTTCCTTCAGACCAGAGACCCTCCTGTGTTGCCCACTGTGTCCCAGCTCACCCAGAAAGCAGGTACAGCAGCTCGGCCTCCCCGCCTCCTTCGTCACACTTAGACACACTGAGCTAATGAGGTCTCTTCTCATTTCCCTCTCTCCCCTTCGCTCCTCCCCACACAGTCCTGTTTCCAGGCTCAACTGCACCTTTCTTATTCTCACAGGTGAGGGAGAGCAGGTGGAGGTTGATGGCTGGGACTGTAGTTTCCCCCGAGATGCCTCGAGACTGGAGCCCAGCACCAATGTGGAGCCCCTCAGTAAGTTTTGGGAGCCTGGGAGAGGACCAGCGATTTTATTAATCACAACAGTAGGTAACTATCACATGCTTACTGTGTGCCAGGCATGGTTCTCACAGCTACTCCATGGGATGGTGAATATTGTTATTGCCATTTTACAGATGAAGAAACCAAGCCTTCGAGCAGTCAAGTGGCTTGCCCGAGGCTATAGTGCTAGCCAGAGGAAGGAGCAGCATTTGGGGAAGGGTGTTGCTGGGGGCCCAGAGAGAGGGGCTTGACCTCTTGTGTAGAGGGATCAGAGAAGTCTAGCTTCTTGTCACTCTTCAGAGCCGCTTGGAAGAGAGACAGTCATGCTAAAGAAATGGCTCTGGTATAGGACATGTCTCCAGTAGTCTCAGTTCTGGCCTATACCTGTTGCCATCAAGTCAAGTGCAACTCATGGGGATCCTATAGGACCAGCAGAACTGTCCTATAGGGTTTCCAGTAATCTTTACGGAAGCAGACTGTCACATCTTTCTCCTGCAGAGCAGCTGGTGGGTTCAAACCGCCAGCCTTTTGGTTAGCAGCCGAATGCTTAACCACTGCACCACCAGGGCTCCTTTCTGGCCTACAAGTGACCCCTTTTCTCCAATCTTCCTTCTCTTCTAGGTTCTCTGCTAGCCCAGTTCTTCTCCTGTGTCTCTTGCTGGGATCTTCGTGGCTCATTGTTGTCTCTGCGGGAGGGCCAGGCCCTGCCTGTGGCAGGAGGCTTGCCCTCTAATCTCTGGGGGGGCCTGCGCCTTGGTCCCCTGAATCTCCAGGACCCCTTTGACCTGAGTCACAATGTGGCAGCCAACGTGACCACCCGGGTAGCTGGGCGGCTACAGAACTGCTGCCGAGCAGCAGCCAATTACTGCCGAAGTCTCCAGTACCAGCGCCGTTCCTCCCGAGGTCGGGACTGGGGGCTGCTCCCTCTTCTGCAGCCCAGCTCCCCTAGCTCCCTGCTGTCTGCTACGCCCATCCCCTTACCCCCGGCTCCCTTCACCCAGCTCACTGCGGCCCTGGTCCAGTTGTTAAGGGATGCATTGGGGTGCCATATAGAGCAGGGAACCAAGAGATCGCGGTCAGAGGGAGATGGAGCTGGGGAGTCTCCCCAGGGAGGGACAAGCAAAAGATTGAAACGAGATGGACAGAAACAGAGCTGTGAGGAGGGGAGGGAAGAGCAGCAGGAATGTGCAGGGGGCCACGGCGAAGACGGAGTGGAAGAAATGGTCGTAGAGGTTGGTGAGACAATGCAGGACTGGGCCATGTGGAGCCCTGGGCAGCCAGGGGAGCTGTCCCTGACGACTGGAGAGCTTCTAGCCACTGGAGAAGGGGGCCAACCAGGCCATACAGCCTTGGCAGAGCAGGGGCCCAAGGGACCTGACACAGCCCAAAAAAGGTTGCCGGGCGAGACAGGCAAGGGGGCAGCACTTTCCTCCTTGGTGAGCTGGCGCTGTGCCTTGTGGCACCGAGTGTGGCAGGGGCGGCGGCGTGCCCGGAGACGCTTACAGCAGCAAACCAAGGGAGGCGGTGCTGGCGTTGGAGCAGAGTGGCTGGCGACTGAGGCTCAGGTGAGCCAGGAGCTGAGAGGACTGAGCGGTGGTGAACAGAGGCCAGCGGCTGAGCCCCTCCTGACCTTTGTGGCCTCTGCCTCTCAAGCAGACCAGACCCTCACTGTGACCCCACTCCAGGATTCCCAAGGCCTGTTCCCTGATCTCCACCACTTCTTACAGGTTTTTCTCCCTCAAGCACTTAGACACCTCCTCAAGTGAAGACACACACGCTAAAGGGCAATAAAGCTGCTAGTTTAATACAAATGCACTCCAGTTTTCTCTAATTTCCACCTGGTGGTAATCTTCCCAATACGACCCCCGCCCCAAACCTTAGCCACCACCTTCTCAGAGGGTCCTTCTCTGAGCATCCTGTCTAAAAGACGTCTCTATTATTCTCCACCTCAGCAGCGTTTTTGTTTCCCTCATACCATCTAGCACAGCTTGCAGGGACAGCCAAGACAGCACGGTGCCTGGCCCTTGAGTTCTTGAATGATGGCATGGTCGGTGGGTTGAACAGTACTTGTGAGAAGAACCAAGTTTGCCTCGACATTTCCTCTGCTGCCCCAAAGATTTATGAATGGTGACAGGGCCCACGATTTGGGCTCAGGGTTCATTCTCTCGCTTAAGAGTTCATCCTGTTCTTAAATTGGGTAAAAGATTTTTAAACCGGTGAAGGGCAACCCATCAGAATGTTAAGTACCTTAAACCGTTAGCCGGCCAGGGTCAGAGCCCAGCCTTCCGACAGGAGGTGGAGGGGTATGGCTGTGTCCTCGCTTCTGGCCCTTCCCCCGGTGCAGACCACAGGACTAGTGCCTTTTGTTTTTGCAGTAACAGCATCCCGGAGCTGCAAGGTGGTTTAAAATCAGCAAACCTCACTTTTACAGACGGTTTTAGACTGTTGAGATAGACGTCCCTTTCTAGCAACTAAAGGAGTTTGGCAAACCGTCACCTCCGCGCACGAGTTGTTTCTCGCTGCTGTGTCACACAGTCATGGTGTTGGGGGTTGGGCCGAGCCCCTGTCAAGTCCCTTCTCCCTGGGCCTGCAGGGGGACGCCTTTGCGCCCCTCTGACAGTTCTGCCACGTAGCCGGGAAGAGGTGGCTTTCCAGTCGTTTCTCACACTTTCCCCTCCCTCGGCGCCGTCCCCCTCCCCGGCGGGACTCCGATTGGCCGCATCTGAGGGGCGGACCAGCCAAGAAAGTCCCAATGCGCAGGCGCCAGCTTTTCCGCGCCGGCCAGCAGGCCCCACCCCCCTTTTGCCAATTCAGCCGCCGCTGGATTCAGAACTGTCGTGCGTATGCCTTCTATGCCGTCCTCGCTTTCCGGCTGCTGTTTCTCCACGGTTCTCCCCTTCCCCCCACCCTTTTCCCCGTGGCAGCTTACTTTGCGGCAGCGCCGAGGACCCCACCCCCTTTCTCTGCGGAATCACCATGGCGGCTGGGGTAAGTTTGCCGGTTCTGGCAGGCCAGGTCACCCTATCCGCTGCCATCCTCTGCCCGAGTAGGGCCAGTGGGCGCCAGAGGAGTTCGGGAGCCTAGTGGGGAAGTGATCTAGGGTCTAGGGTCTAGAGACCTTACTGTTGGAGAGCGAGGCTTCCGGAGCCCGGAGGGGAACTGAGGCTGGGACTCTCGGAGGCCAGAGGTGGAAGGGTCGGGGGTAGAGCAGAGAAGAGATGTTGGGTCCGGGCCTTCTGGGGCCTTGAAAGGGGGTTCGAGTTCATTGCCGCCTCGAGACGTGGGACCCCGGTAGGCTGACGGAATTTTGGCGACCGTTTTGTGGGGCAACAGCAGCGGACAGGGTAAAGAGGAGGGTCTTTGTGGGCAGATGCGGCTGGCCACGGTTAAGGGTCGTTTCAGGGGGGTTTGGTAACGAAAGGAATCTCCAGACTGTGGAGCCAGGCCAGCTGGACTCCTCTGTCCGGGTTAGTGAAGGAGGGAGGGCAACACCAGCGAACTCACTGCGGGACAGGAGGGGTGGTATGCTTGACAAGGAGAGGAAGGCTCTTTAGGAGACGAGTTGATTTGGGAAGAGGGGGCGCCATTGGTGTCTCCGTGGTAGTTTTGAGGGGAATTTGCACATCCCTTGGTGGGTGTGTGTGCATTAGAGACAAGGGTGATGCTTATGAAGGAAAGAGTGGCTCAGCAGTAGAGTAGGCAGGCACTCGGCACCCATCAATGAATGAAAGCAAGGCTCTGGGACGGGAGAGGTGCTGTGGTTGTCAGCAGATGGAGTCAGAGTGAGCTACAGGTTCTGGGTTTCTTGGAGGTACGTTTGAGGGAAGAGAATGCTTGTAGAGGTGTCCTTAGGAAAGGTCAGGTCTGTCAACAAGTTTTATTTAGCAGTTGGTGTGTAGTTCTGTTCTTGGAATTTCCAGGGACTGATTACATATGACAGGTAGTAAAGAATTTGGTTCACCAGCGGGAGTGAAAGAGTGAGTTGAACAGATGGCAGTTAGTCACAGGGGAGTAATTCTGGGAGGTGGCATTTAGGACTGGGACCCTTTATTCCAATTATTTTATCCCCCCTTCTTTCTTGTACAGACCCTGTACACATATCCTGAAAACTGGAGGGCCTTCAAGGCCCTCATTGCTGCTCAGTACAGCGGGGCTCAGGTCCGCGTGCTCTCCGCACCACCCCACTTCCACTTTGGCCAAACCAACCGCACCCCTGAATTTCTCCGCAAATTTCCTGCCGGCAAGGTGAGTAGGGAAATGGAAAAAGGTGGGCTTTGGCCTTGAGAACCCGTGGAGCCCTAAAATCCCATTGCTCCGGAGAAAGACTTCACTCTTAAAAGGGAGCTTCTTGTGTTGTTTTCTTTCACATTTCAGTGGCTTTAAAAAAAAAAAAAAATTGTTTTGAGATAATTGTAGGCCTAGATGGAGTTGTAAGAAATAACACAGCGATACCCAGTGAGTTTTTAGAAAACGCACAGACTTCTTTGTGTCTGTGGGGAAGAGAATACGTTTGGATCGAGTGTTTTCAGTGCGAATACATCAAGTATCCGCTTTGAGCAGGCTCCTTACTGCAAGGGGCCTACAGAAATGATGCAAATAATCATGTTAGAGAAGTGCTATGTGGGTAGCACCGTAATGAGTGGTATAGACTTAGGTATCAGATTAGGGTTTTTAGTCTTTTGCTTGTAATCTTATTGAGGGATTTTACACAAATACCTGATGATATTCAAATCATTTGGATTTACTAGTTCAGATACTGAGAGTTTAGATAGCAAGGTAGTCCATGTTACTCAAAATATTTTTGGTTCTTGAATTTTAGGTAGTATCAGGACTTTGGATAGCAAGGGTTGTCAGCTCTATAAAAAAAAAATTTATCCAAAACGATTCAGTTCCTGGAACAGGCTAGTGAAGATCCCTGTGTATTTTACTTCATACTTTGACTGCTTTGTCCTCAGGTTCCAGCATTTGAGGGTGACGATGGATTCTGTGTGTTTGAGAGCAATGCCATTGCCTACTATGGTAATTTGCAGGGCAGTGCGGGAATAGGACGGTCTGGAGGTGACGGGGTGTGGAAGCAGAGGGTGAGAGTGAGCTGGAGTGGACAAGGAGAAGATTCTCAGGGGCCTGGACTGGTGTTGGCGTGGCCCCAGAGTCCCTGACCTTTGTGTCCTGCCTCTGCAGTGAGCAATGAGGAGCTGCGGGGAAGTACTCCAGAGGCAGCAGCCCAGGTGGTGCAGTGGGTGAGCTTTGCTGACAGCGACATAGTCCCTCCAGCTAGTACCTGGGTGTTCCCCACCTTGGGCATCATGCACCACAACAAGCAGGTGAGCCTTGGGACATGGGGAGAAGCCAGGGTCTCCTGAGTGTTGGAGAGTAAAAGAAAAGAAATTGAAAAAAGGGGATGCTTAAAGAATACCTGAATAATGAGAAGATCTAATCTTTGGGGCATAACTCAGCACAGTGGGCTGTTGAGGCATCTGGGTTCTTGGTTAGGCAGACCCAGTGGGGAGGGAGTGTCAGTGTCATGAGTAGTCAAGAGGAGAGATTTCTGCGGTAAGAAGGTTATACCAGAGGATAGGGGGTGGTTAGACCAGGTGGCCTCTAAGTTCCTTCTAAATTCCCAGTTCCATAACCGCAGTCGATACAGTGGGAATGAAGCCAGACTGCACCATGAAGAAATTTAACACTGAGCGCTTCATTGGTGATAGCATTTGGAATGACCCTAGAATCTGACTCCATTGAAAGAGGGTGGGGATGAGCCAGGACTCAGTGAAATAGCTACCTTAGTTCTAGCAGTATGGAGAGGAAAGGAATTGGTACCTGCTGACTGATGATTTAAATTCAATAGGCCACAGAGAATGCCAAGGAGGAGGTGAGGCGAATTCTGGGGCTGCTGGATGCTCACATGAAAACAAGGACTTTCCTGGTGGGCGAACGTGTGACCCTGGCTGACATCACAGTTGTCTGCACCCTGTTGTGGCTCTACAAACAGGTGAAGTGTATTAAAAAATCCAGTTGGCAAAGGGTAGGTAGGGATCAGAAATGAAGTGACAGGTCTTCCACGTTACTCTGGGTTTCACTGCGGACACGGGAGTCTGATAGCTAGTCTGTAGGATAGTTGGAAGCCCAGGATTCAGTACTAGAATTGGGCTTTCTCTCCCTTTCCTGAGAAGTTTGGTGATGTTCCCTTCCCTTAGTTCTCATGTGGCAGCTAAGATGTTTAGTTTGTCGACATATTTCTTGGGAACCCCGAACCCCGCTTGTATTTGGGTAGATGTGGTAGCTTCAGCATCAAAGTCTTCTGGAGGTCTAGGTTTAGGTCTTGGTTTTGTCACTTATTAGGTGTACGGGTGTGTGTGTCTTAACTCTTTCAGTTTTTTTTTTTTTTTTTGAAGTATATAAATCTAGAGTAATAGTTATTTCTTTTGAGGATTTCCAGTTAGAGAGCAGGTTGCTTGTATTCTCAGACTGATGCTGGTCGAGAATAATGTGATAATGGTGTAGAAAAGCTCGCCTGGTATACACAGTGGTTAAGCGCTCGGCTGCTAACTGAAAGGTTGGTGGTTCAAACTCACCAGCTGCTCTGTGGGAGAAAGACGTGACAGTCTGCTTCCATAAAAATTACAGCCTTGGAAACACTATGGGGCAGTTCTGCCCTCTCCTATAGGGTCACTATGAGTCAGGATTGACTTTATGGAATGGGTTTTTTTTTTTTTTTTTT